GGCAACAGCCACTGGTACTGGCTATATAAAAATTCTAACATTGATATTTGCCCTTTATCAAATAAACTAAAGAATGTAACTAACTTCCACTGAGAGTTTTTTCACTGTGGTCTCCATTAATTTAGGCAGGAAATTCATATCATAAAACAAGTACATACTGGTGCTGGTGGTTTCTCTTCAATGAAGGAGGTAACCGGAGTGACAGCCTCAATCTCCTGAAGGTTGACCTGTTCTTCAGGTCGCACAGTCTCACCAGAACGCCAACGGTTAATTTCCGCTTCGAGTTTTTCAACCTAAAAACATTTTAAAATAATCATAGAAATACAACCATAGACATGAAACTGAAAGTCACAAACTAAAATGAAAATAGAGTTTATTTACCTTTCCTTTAAGCCTGGCCACTTTCTCCTTTTCTCTTTCGTAGCGTCGTTTCCATTCTTCGGCAGTAAGTTCCTCATTAACACATACAACATTCTTCACAGTCTTAGCTCTACAAAGATCATGTCAATTAGCATAATAAATACATACATTTTTGCACTTATATACCTTTAAACACTATCTTTAGCTTACCTTTTACCAAAATCGAGGGTACTCTTTGTTTCACTCTCATTAAAGGATGCTGGGGAACAACAGATGACAATAGTGGTTCTGGCGTTACCACCAAGTGACTCTTGTAAAATACGAGTTAATTTGGAATCTCTGTATGGGATGTGAGACTTGTTGCCATCTGCTAATGCAGAGATGACATTACCCAAAGCAGATAATGATTTGTTTATGTTCTTTGCCTCATCAAGTACAGTACCTTCAGCACCAGTTTTAGACACCTGAATATAAAATATCATATTTAATTTTAAGATTGCAATTTTACTATAATCAGTGTATTTTGGAAATAAGACTTTAGTTTTACCTTTTCAGAACCAGCCAAATCTACTAGGTACAATTTTCCTGATAGTTTTTTCTGATTCTCTAAGTTTTCCTGTTTCACATTAATGAGAAAGACAGAATGAGATCTGGATGAATGTTCATTCATGTCTGAAATGAATATCCATATTAAATTTAAACATTTGAAGGTATAATCATGTTTAGTTTATTTGTATGTTACATACTTGTTACTGCAATATGCCTATTTGATTTGCCTTCCTCTATCACTTCAAATACTTCTTCGGGACTTGACACAAACCGTTCTGTAGCACCTTTCACAAATGGGACACGATTCTTGTCTTCATGAACACTAAGGTTAACTTTCGAGACTGAAAAAAGAAATTTATTTAGCATACATAATCCAAATTTAAATATTGTTTTATATTTTATATTGAAAATGTATTACCATCTAGTAGATCTCTGATTTTATCCATATAAATTTCAAAGTATGAAACTTTTATGTGGAATTCCAAATTTTCTTCCATTGCATAAATGTGGTTGAAAATATCATTGACTATTCTTGGAATAATACCCTGTTTCCCTGGATCACCTAAAAAACAAAAGGCATTATTAGAATATTATGAATTAATTCAATTTCCTAGTTTTATAATGTGTCATACATACCTATGACACCTTCCATTGTGTGTGTTTTTCCAGAGCTTGTTTGACCATACGCAAATATTGTCCCATTGTATCCAGCCAGTACATCAGACACAATACTCTTTGCTGCCTCATTATATACTTTCTCTTGAGTCGCATTTGGTTTAAATACTTTGTCAAACAAATAAACTTTACCCTAAAATAGTACCATTATTTTAATGTGAAAAGCGACAACATTTAAACCTGTTTTCAGGACAATTGAATAAACCTATTTTTAATCACAAATAATAAAAAATCTTTGATTGTAAAATAACCACTTGTTTGTATGAATGCAATTACATTAAAATAAAATCAAATCCTACTAAAGTTACCTTATGTTTGAAACTGTTTTATATTAAAGATGAGTTTTTAACCAGTAATTATTAAATCTATATTTCTATATTATAGCAATTATATTCCAAACATGATAGATTATGTAACTGGTGATATTGGGTAAAAAAAAAACAACAACAAAATTCAAAATTATGATAAGACAACATCAGTTTCTGTTTTCTTGAATGCAATTACTATAACAAAATAGATAAATCCAAACATTTATCAACAGATACATTTAGAATTAGATCTTAAGATAGAAAATCTAAAGGTTATATTTTACAAACAATATTAAATTTTAAAATAGTTAAATTCATAAGATTTGTATTTCATTTATTATTTAAATAAGAAAATACTAGATTACTGTTTTTTAATGATAAAAATATATATTATTACTTATAGTATATTGTTGTAAGTGAAACCTATTTGGTGTTTTGCAGTGTAAGACTGGCTGTATTTAAATAATGACATAAGATAATTTAAGTTTGAGTTGTTCGAATGTAGAGAAAAAGAACATGTCTAGAATAGTGTAAAAATAACATCTTGTTTTTATACACAGTTGTATTGATATTAGTTTATATGAGAATAAATAACAATCTTTATTTATTTAATCATTTTTGTGTGCTGGCTAAACCAAATTCCTATCATATATAAACAAATATTATATACCGCAGTTTTAAAAAATTTGCGAAGGATATGTCCAGGTCAAGGTCGAGAAAGTATTTGTATTGATTTTCGACATAACAAAATTTCTTGTTAGATTTGGTTAAAATATAGACTAAACAGTACAACTTTTTTTCGGTTGCATTTGCAGTCATAGTCACCGAAGCGGAATAGAAAAGAAAGGCCATTTCGTAGCAGGTGAACACAAGTCATATTGTATTAGTCATCATGATCTAAATTAGGGCGATGATAGCAAGCACTATTCCCAACTGTAAAATAAGGTTTCACATACCCCTATGGAAATACAGTTATCGTCGGGACCTGAAGGAAATTTCACAATAAATTTGGAACCAGCTTTTTCTTCGGAGTCATTCAAAGGCCGAAATCGGCATACAACTCTAATGCTATCTTCAGCAGCTATTTCACGATCAGCTGCCATTTTGGAAACCAAATATCTTACACTAAACACCGTCTATGCAATTAAAAAAAATAAAACTTTATTGGAACATAAAACCGTGCATGAAGAACTACTAAGTTAGATTTTGTCACTGGGAATCTTCATGACAGCAGTATCAAAATGTCGGCCATATTCTTCGTAGAAGAAAGGCCTGAACTGCATGTTTATTGGTTGGATAATCGAGACATAGCCAACGTCATGAAAAAAAAATCGATCTGCTACCAACATTGTGTTAAAAAAATCTACGTTCCGTACAACTAAAAAAGTATAGAAGATTAAAGATACTTTTTAGACTTTTTGTCTACAAGTGAAAATATAGCTCACACTTACTTAAGCCAGGATTATCATCTAAAATTAATAAACCAAATAAAATTGTATCATGTTCATGAATTCATTAATCTCCATTCTATATCTTCTATTAAAGAAATTTACTTGTTTCGCTCAATTCCGCTTTAAAAATAATATTCGCCTTTCCAATTTAAAATGCTTGAGGATTAAAGGAATTACGGTAAGTAGTTTATTTTATCTAAAACCATACCTAGTTTAGCCTATTCAAAGAGATTCAAATATATTATTTAAATGTCTTTGAACGTACTATAAATTGTTCTAATTTACAGTGGAATGTTAAGTGCACCAAAACTACTTATAATAATAATTGAAGACATATTACGTAAAATCTAGATAAGTAAATCCTAAGCTATAACGTATAAGCTAAGTAACATTGTACTGTCTCTGCCATAATACATTTGTTTAATTTGGTAAAGAATCCTTGTTCCTACCATTGATGATTGCTTCAAAAGAAAAGATGTTTTCCTGCTATATTTGTTAATCTACTTGTCTCAGTCTAATTAATTGGATAATTGTTATTGTTTTTGCGTTTTGAACAAGTTTCAACTTCCTCTTTCACTAAGTTTTTTGAATTTCAATGTCTTTATGACATTTTTCGAATACAACTGAAAACTGCTGAAAACCACAAATATTGGTTTAAACATATAAAAAAAACCTGAATAACTAGAAGTAATTAATAATTTCACTCGTTAAGATTGGTTATTTTGATCATAGTTTCATAAATTATCCATTTGGATCGTGATGATGTCCGCGCTCTGCATATATTTTCATATGAACGCAGCATAAACTCTTTGATAGCTTTTGGTTTGGCAAATTTGGCATTGGATGATTGTTTTAGGTTGAGTGGTAATGAGTAAATGAGTAATTTATTTACTTTAAGGATAATCTCGTATGTATCTTTTGTATGGTGTAACAAAATAGAAATGGAATTTTGCATTTGTATACTTCGTAAAGAAATACACTAAGACTGGTATGTAAAACATTTAATTTACTTTAGTTATAAATGTCGTTCTCAATGTTGTAGTGCGATTACGAAATATTTAACTCTGCCGTTGTTATAAACATTTGGAAGCCTACTATATATTATTTTAGGTATCTGTTCTGATTGATCTTTTATTTAGCTATACTATACTTTCACAGCTGTGAACTTCTTAACAAAGTAATATCTTTCATCATGAATAATGTAATTATAACAGCCTTCCTATTAGATGTACCAAAAATTAGATTTTTATTGTATTTACTTTTAACTTTTTATGGAAGAGTCGAATTATGAGAATCACATTTTTACTTACTAGAAAAATGTGTAGCGAGTTCCGATGTGGTGGTTTTCAAGTTTTCTTAATTGTGTATTAGCTATTGTTCCTTTGATACAATCAAACGAGCATCTTCTATCTTTTGATTAAAAACTAAAAAGTGCATCTCATATGCATGTAATGTATCAATGGGATACCTTTGTATGCAATTAAATAATGGAATCCAAATCTGATTGTCATAAAAACTTTCGATTTTTAAAGTCTTCAATAAACAAGTAAACATTGATTCACTTTTTTTTAACCATACTAAATAAGCTCTAGGCTTGTTCTAGGATATTGTTTAAAATAATAGTTGAAAGGCAGGAGTCGTAGACCCTTCACAGTATTTACACTTAACCATTGAGATATTCTCACTTGTTTTCGGTTAAAACAATAATCTGGTATTGTTTATAACTTTAATTCATTATTTTTTTTATATGTGCTGTAAAAACTTTCCTCTTTCCACCCTTTTCTTATAGGGATGGAATGGGAGAGAGAAATGGATATGGGGATAAGTACATATATGTAGAAAGTGATATTAACCAGCTCTCTTCATAGGCAATGTTTCTGCAACCATCCTGTTTTATTCAAGGAATTCAAATTGTTATTAGTATGCTGTTCTGTTTAATATTTTTTTTATTCTATGCATAATTTCTTCTTTCTGAATTGTGATTTAACAACTTCCTTTTTTTTAACATTTAGCTTTTTTTAAAAAAGAGAAAACGGAATTGCATTGTAAAAGTGTTCCATTTTCGTTTCGTAGTACTTTTAGGTGCAGTTTGATGGTGCCGCGCCCGCCAGAGCGAGCGGGTGCGGTCGTTGACCTCGCGGCTCACCCCCGACCGTTAGCGTCGATATATGGAAACTTGNNTCTTGTATCAGCCGTTAGTCGCCAGCAATGGTTCCTAGCGGATTGCGAGATCCTTAGAAATGCGCTACGGTAAAAATGTTTGCGCTGCGGTAAAAAAATACGGGCTCACTCGATAGTTGGTCAGTGCTGTAGTTAGCACACGTAAATAGCTTTAATGATCCCGATAGATTTCTTGGCTTTTACATTAAAGGGTTTACTTATTTTTATCAATTAAAAACAGCTGACACACTTACTAACAACAGTAATAGTGTAAACAAAAGGAAGGATTTTTTTTTTTATAGATTACGTTTTTTTTGCATATCGTAAAAAATATTTAGGCGTCATTTTTAATAATGTCTACATCTATTATTCAAGTGTTCGTACACTGTAGAGGTGGTGATGAGGTCGACAGACGTTTGTAACAGCTCAAGAGTTACAAAGAAATTATTACTTCTATGAACAGTGAAAATAGGTTACAGTGACGAGCTAAAATATTTTACAGATTTCTGTTTACTTCATTTGTTTTTTGGTCATTATTTGTTTGAAACTTTCTAAGCTAGTAATAAAAAAATCGATCAATTTTTGCAAGCGTTTTCAGGAATAATAAACGTACATAGTGTATATTATTCGTAGATATAGAAGAGTAAACAATAAAACAATAAGGATAAGGAATATCATTACTGGCTGTGGAGGCCATGTTATGCGAATTGCAAACCATTTTTGTCGTAATCAATGTGAGTTATCGTTTTAATAAGGCTACTAACATCGCGCTTGACTCACTGCAAATGAGAATACATCGATGTGCGTCACTATAACTGTTACTTCGTAATTATTTTGATTTTTACTCTTAATAAAATCTGTGATTCAAATAATAGCGCGAAGGTATACGTCCATGACACCTTGTGTCATGACTATATTGGTCAGCTCGTTATTTTATGACGTAACCCCAGTGGCCTACACAGACTCGTTTCTCGTGTAAAAACCTTGGTTTCTGCATTATCTTAAATTACGAATCGACTACATTATTGAAATATTTTTAGGATTCCATTTTTCGGCTATAAGTCCTATATTAAAATTATGACGCGATCGTCATTGAAAATACGAAAAATTCAACAGGAATATAATAGATTTTTTAATGGGCGTTTTAATTTGATTTTGTTATTTTATGGTTTATTGTATAGATGTAATGAAAATAGTGCTGGGTCGGTTATATTATTAATGTGCATATTGATTCTAAGAAGAACGGTGACGGCGCCTTGTGTATCACTCGCTGACGAAGTTATTTTCTGAACAATTAGTCACGCGTGTATCCGGCGCAGGGAGGCCGCGCGCTGCTCACGCTCCGAAATACGATTTATTTTATAACGAAATGTTATTTAAATTACTATTATGATATTAAAAAAATAATAGAGTGCTTATTATTTGTTATTAATAATTTAAAAATTCAGATGAATGTGTAATCTTATTTTGAAACTACGTGACTGTTAATTACTTTTTAATAACCCATCGATAAATTTAGACAGTTATTAATAATATGTATAATTATTGTTAGGATAAGAAAGTAATGAAACAGTGGTAAAGTTAAATTTAACTCTTTAGTGGTGTTTTGCGCGAAATGTGAGTCAATTACTTGATAAGGAGTGTGCAACTTTATGATTTTATTGTGTGCTCAGTTATAGTGACAAGAAGTGTAAATGTGATAAATCTAGTTGGATTTGATACATTTTTTGTAAGTATTGGTACCTTACTTCAATTTTAGATTGAATAAAAGAAATAAATAACATAAACTGTGGTCTTATACGATTTATTGTCGGTATCAGTAAGGTTATAGATTGGTCCTTCAGTTGAATATTTTGAAGATTTTTGCGCTGTTTGTAATGGGGTTAAGGTTGAATGAGTTAACAAGTCCATGAGAGAAATGTAGAGGCATAGAGTAAGTTCAAATTAAAATTGATTTTGTATACTCGTGTACTAATAGCTGCGTTTATAAATCGAAAGTGGAAAAAAAGATAGACTCAATTTAAATCTGATGTTCATTTATTGGTAAACGCAAGCGAAAGTAAAATCAGTATTTAATTGTCTGCTTATGTCACTTCTTAATGCATTATATGAATGAATCACACTGCAAATGCAATATGGTTTACATCAGCTGAGAAATAGTGACAAAGAGTGTACACTTGTGTTTTTTCACAAATATAAAGTAAATAGGAAGATTTCTATATGCTACATAGCGGTTATAACATGGTATTTCTGATGTTAATTTATACAAAGCATCAAACCCACTGAGATTTTTTATTGGACAATAACATTTGATTTATATTAACTCCAAGAGTTTTTGTTTTTGAGTTTTTGCAATCCCTTTACATTGATAATTAATTTTGAAGAACACAAGTTCAATAAATATGTTTTTTGTAATGTAAAAGTTAAAAAACCAACTTGCTCTTTCCTGTTTTGAGTTAAAAGTAAAAATGTGATGATAACGCGACATGTGCGGATGAATGTGGATCGCCTACGTAGCGCGTAAGCAGCGAGTTTATTTAGTCTGACTGTACCATGCTGTTCGTTAGGGTTGCCATTCATTCAGTATCTATAAAAATTATAGCACTATATACGTATACACTTAATTTACAATGAAGGTAAGGTCTTACGCGATATGTGTTAAACGACTATTGACTAATGTATGAAAATCTCATTTAAAAATCAAATGTTTTGAATTACTGTTGGAACCAGCGCTTATCTTATACAAAAAATGTTTTGGTATATTAGATATTTCGTTATGTTGCAAATATTAAATTTACCAGAAAAGCTAAAGTCGTGTCGTGTCACGTTCGTAAACTATCAGTTGAGTTGTCCCAATTTAAATTGTAATCACTAGCAGTGGTAGCCCTAGGAACGGCCTCGATGTGGCGGCGTGGGAGGCGCCCTTTCTCACCAGCAGTGCGCCCACATCGTTCTCACCTCGTCTTATATCATGTACTGAACACCATGCATTGGTCTTATCATTCATTAAAACACCTTAAAGTATTGTCGATAAACAAGCGATATTTAAGAAATACATTAATGAAAAAAACCGCAATGAATCATTGTCTTGCGTACGATTATCGATGATTTAACTAGTAATTTGTTGTTAAATATGACTATTTACTGATTCAACAGCTGATGTCATAAAACCATTATGTTGTTTTAATTCAATAACACGATCAAAATATATTCGTTTAGAATCAGTAAAAAATTATCTAGGTTTTGTTTAATTTTTTGCATTTATCACCTATTTCAATATGTAACGTAAAAATATTACAATATTTTTCTATGTAACAACAAACATTTGACCAATTTCTCTATTGTTACAGATAAATCGAATCTGAATAGATAAACGAAACGAACACAAAATGCTTAAGCATCGATCTAGTGTAGTGTTTGTGTGGGCGTGCCTGCTAGCGACGTGCTGGGCACAGCGGGCGGAGCAACTCCTCGCCCAGAACCCCTGCTCCAGCAAGACGATCTGCAGCGACTGTATACGCACCGCGTTCTGTGCGTGGTGCTTTGCCCCCGAGTTCAACGGGCCGAGGTGCTTCAACCCGGCAGTAGAGGGTGGCACCGGCGGCTGCGATGAGGCCTACATATTTAACCCCGATAACCAACGCACTCTCGATCCTATGTTTAACAAAGAATTGACTAGAGGTATGTTGACAATCAAAATGCACGATGTATTCAGTCAATTAAATTGACTGACACTTTAAATTACGTCGAACAAATATTTCTTGCACCTTTTTTGACTTGAATAGGAAAGGGCCACGCCTTGCTGTTTGTCAGCACGCTATTCTTATCGCAATGACAGCATTTTTCCTTTTAGGCTGACAGTAACAAATTAATGGAGTATTTAGTATTATCCTTTGGATATTGCAGTTTACCTAAAAGTTAGGAATATTTAAAAATGTTGTAACAAATTTCATTGGAAACAATTTCTTATTACAACTTTGATTTTAAACAAAAGTAATAATATTGTACAACAGCAAGAGGACGAATCGGGGCAGGCATGGAGTCTTCGTTCTACGAGGAGTCTTACAGTAGCAGCAGCACCAGCATCAAGAGCGGCAGCGGGTACATGGCTGGAGGTGGCGCGGCTTTCGGCGAGAACTTAGTACAAATCAAACCACAACGAGTCAATATGAAATTAAGAATGAGTAAGTGGATATTGCTGTAGCTCGCAATACAGTACGGCTGCTCATAATCTTGTTTTCTTTAGTATAAATTTAATATAAGGAATCATATTTTATAAATATGAAATAATGCTTATTCATTTGTTTTTTTTTTAGATCAAATGGAAAAGATGTCGTTCTCGTACGCTCAGGCGCAAGACTACCCTGTAGATTTATACTATCTTATGGACCTCAGTAGATCTATGAAGAACGACAAGGACAAACTGAGTACTCTCGGCAGTTTACTCTCGAGTACGATGAGGAACATAACCTCAAACTTCAGGATCGGCTTTGGATCGTTCGTCGACAAGCTCGTCATGCCCTATGTCTCAACTGTACCCAAAAAGTACGTTAATCTCCAAATATTTTAAAAAATTCAAGAAACAATATTAAAATTGTAATAATCTATAAATATAATATGTTAATGTATATGGGCATTAAAAATAGTACAGTGCCGATAAGCTCTAATGGTTTCCGTGTTGCTACTTGTTGTATATGCTATTTAGGGTGTGTTATGTTCGATAATTGAATTCATGTTTTATATGATTTGTACACTTGAAATTTAATTAGGATTACATTGTTAGGTTAGGTGTTAACTCATACAATTTATGACGAAAAAGGCCTTCGGCCACAATATGTAGAATATTATATTTTAGGATAAAATTGGTAATATCAACTGTTTTGTTTCAGTTTGATCTCCCCGTGTGACGGCTGTGCGGCGCCCTATGGCTTCAAGAATCAAATGTCTCTCAGTAATGACACAGACTTCTTTGATGTAAGTTTTAGTTTTTTGTGTTAGCAATATGATAACTAGTGCAGTTGCATGTAACGTAGCAATTAAGGTAATTGCTAACGTTTAATGTGAAACAAACATGAAATTTAACGAATATCAATCGTCTCTTCCAGACATAAGGTACATTTTCTATTGTAGTTTGCAAAAAAGTTAATAAAAAAACATACCAGAAGTCTATGCATGTGCAATTTATCTTGTTTCGAGTTTAGCTTTTTGTCTATAAATGGGTTCAGGTTTTTATTTCTTTAATTTGGTTACAGAAAGCGGTCGCTGGTGCGGATGTATCTGGTAATCTGGACTCTCCTGAAGGTGGTTTCGACGCCATCATGCAGGCTATCGTCTGTCAGCGGGAAATCGGATGGCGCGAAAAAGCGCGTCGTTTACTTGTATTTTCAACTGACGCGGGCTTCCATTACGCTGGTGATGGAAAGGTAAAGGACCAGATATTAAAAAAAATGTGTACAGAATAAATATTGTCGCCACATTCTCATTAAAAACACAGATAAAATGTTTTTGTAGATGTGTTTTTACAGAAGAAACTGTCATATCATTTAGGCCTCGTGATTTCAATAAAATAGTTTGAATGTTCTCATAAGCAGATTTAATTAAAACGATAAGAAACGCAGTCTCAGTCAGATAATGTAAATAATAAACTAAGATATAAATGTATCTGCGGCGCGAACTCGGCCGTCTTATCTATATTTTACTGTAATGATGTAAGGAACTAATGTAAATATACTTAAAAGTGAAATATAGTTTCTGTATTGAAACTTAAGTTTTTTGCAAAACATATTTGTGCGCTAAAATTATTAGTTCACACAACCTTTTAAGGTTTTTCGCGCGTTAAAAAATAATGTTTGTTTTGTTACAGCTCGGTGGAATTGTTCAACCCAATGATGGAGAATGCCACATGGAAAACAATTCATACACACACTCAACCATACAAGATTATCCCAGTATTTCACAAATTAATCTCAAGGTATTTGTTTTTTGAATTATCTGCCCACTATCACTTGCATTCTTTATGTGATATAATGGAATTTGAAAATTTTTCCATAAGAATAGAAAAATTCTTTTGTAAAAACAAATCTAATACCATTTTTATAAATTAGACTATGTTTTACTTCTATACCAAATTTCATCATTATCCGATTAAGAGATACCTTCTAACATCCATCCATCTTAACTTTTGCATTTGCTATATTAGTAAGAAGTAAGATTATATGTGTTTACGTTGTATACAGGTGAAGGAGCACGGCATCAACGTGATCTTCGCGGTGACGTCAGAGCAGTTCAAGGTGTACGAGCAGCTCAGCAAGAACATCCAGGGCTCCAGCAGCGGCGTGCTCAGCGAGGACTCCGACAACGTCGTAGAGTTAGTGCGCGAACAGTACAATGTTAGTATCAAAACTGATTATTTAATAATTATAAAAAAAACAGAACTAGCAACAAAATGATACCTAATTCATTTTTTATCATTCAGGTTATGGTTTAATGGCAAAAAAAATATTCCCTGCAATAATCCTATCATTTCATCTCTTAAATTAATCTAAAAGTTCTGATCAAATTTGATAATTTAAGGCCATTCTAGACAAATCTGTGAAAAATATTTCTCTTCGATCAAATGGGTAATATTTAGAAAATTGTATTTTTTTTGTAGAAAATAACGTCAACTGTGGAGATGAAACACACATCGAGTGACGCCGTGCAGCTCGTCTACTACTCCTCCTGCCTCGGCCCCAAGGGCAACCTTAAGAAGACTAACAAATGCGATGGATTGAAGGTTAGCGAGCGTTTTGGGTTTTACAATATTTTGTAATTAAATATCGACTGTTTCAGGCGAAAATTTATCAATAATCAAAACTATAACACATAAAATAAAGTAAGGAATTTAATTTGTTTTTACGAATTTTATTGCTGAAGAATTTAGTGTGGAATTCCAGTTTTCATTTAACATTGTCTTAAAATTTGTTTATTGTAATCAAATTGTTATTAGGTAATTAGTAACAATGCAATGATGCATCAAACAAAAAATGCATTTTATAGTAAGAAACATGTTTAGTATCACATCCACGCTAGAGTTGACACAATCTAGTTTTTTTAAAGTTAATATTTGTTGCATTCTGTAGGTGGGTGATGTGGTGGAATTCACTGCGGAGATAACGCTGAAGGAGTGCCCCAAGGACCCCAGCAAGTGGCGGGAGACGTTTACCATCTACCCTGTGGGCATGTCGGAGAGCCTCACCGTCGAGCTGGAGATGCTGTGCGACTGCCCCTGCGAGCACCCCGGACACCATGTATGTACCTTCACTGTATTTACATTAATATGTTTTTTCAATTGTTTTCTAATCATACTAATAGTTTAAATGAGAAAATTTGGATGGATGGTTGTTTGTTATGTACCTACAAAACGTCTCTGCTAGTGTAGACGAAATTTTGCACGGATGTAGAACATCCTGCAGAATATTCAGCTCCTACTAAGTTTTTTCATAAATTACCCGCAAAGTCGCGGGCAAAAGCTAGTCTGTTTAAATCATATATAATGTTTTAAACATGAGAATCGTTGGATTTTGTATTAATTTACATTGTCCGTAATTTTGTCGACTTACCGTTTTCTATATTTATGTTTGTTTTCAAAAATTGGATAATAGTGAAGTTAGTGTGTTGTTAAATATTGAATTTTTCGTGTTGCAGGCGTACAGCGAGAGCCCGCTGGTGTGCAGCGGACAGGGCATATCGGCGTGCGGCGTGTGCGTGTGCAACGCGGGCCGCTTCGGCAAGGGCTGCGAGTGCTCCGCGCACGGCGGCGCCT